GTAAAGAAACAAAAATTCAATTAATATTTCTCAATGAAATTATTTCTTCTAATCATAAAATGAACGATTTCGTCATTCATTTTGACATTATCAATAAGAAGTATGTTTACAAATGCTGATGATGTCTGAAGCCATTTAAGTACTAATGGATTTGTTTTTTCAGCAATTTTAATAGTTGAGTTTGGATACTTCTTTGTATAATAACTCTTTCTGATACTTTTTATAGATGGAGTAACAACAGCTTGAATGATTGTCAGTTTTTGGTTGTTTTGATAAACCTTTGAGTTATAATCAAGTCTCTTTAACATTTTCCGTGTTTCATTCTTGTTTGGCCAAATTGAATCAATCTGGTCTTGTGGAAAGAGATAGAGAGGAAGTTTTTGGTTAAAGGGATTTAAGCAGAACACAAACAATCTTTGTTTGATATGCACAAGCTGTGACAAAGGAATAATGAATTTGTTATAGTCATTAAGTACAAGATGTTTAGAACAACACTCCTCTATCAATAGACAAAGTGATTGAAAATTATTCAAGGAGTTAATTTGATACAAATGATTAATGTCTATAATAATAACTTCACCATCATGTTCTGTGAGAAAACAAGTAATATCCTGAAGAGCTGTTTCAAGTAATTGACAATATAATCCATGAAGTAAATAAAATTTCTTCAATTTATGATTATAAACAACCCTGAAATCAAAATATCGAATTCCAGCAATGCACTGATCTCTAATTCCAAGTTGTTGAGTTTTTGACCATCGTTTCATGAATGAACGATGTTTCTTGGGAAATATTGTAAAAGGAGTAATTCCATATTGTGGTAAAATAGTGGATGTTCCACTATCATGACTTCCAACCATTCCAATCTTGGTGATTGGTTTTAACTGGATTGTAGAATTGCATTTCATCCAATCAGAAGTGTTCATTACTTATATCGTAGAATTCAATAACCTTTCTTTTCTAATCATCCATTTATATACCCATAAAACAACTTGCTTTTCATTTAGTGAAAATACAAAACTTTAAATTAGAGGAAAAGAAGATTTAAATTAATCAACTTCAACAACTATAAAAATTAATACATTATTTATTTCAATGAATAAAACAAACCATCATCATCTAATACTGGAAGATTTTCCATTTCATTTTGTGATGTATTATAATTTGATGGCATTTTAACTACTTCAGGTTTTGTTCTAACTTCAACCACTTGATTTGATGTTTGAAGAATATTTTCAACCATTTTTGAGATACTGTTCTGAATAGAAGGAGAATTAATTAATTGAGAAAATAATGGTCGTAAGTCCCATTCTTCATTCATTGAACTAGTAGCGGTTTGATAACTATCTAATTATGAATAAATGAATAGACAAATGAATTGTTGATTATTCTAAGCAATTAAAACTATAAACAAACCAACAAGTTTTAATCTTAAAGTAATATTCTTCATTTGTTTCATTGCTAAAAGAATGTCAGTATCATCAGTTAATGTTACCCAATCTCCGTCTGTATCAAGAAATTTCATCAAATAACGTGGTCTTAACCTAACATCTTTTAAATTAAATTTTTTTGTAAATGCATCATAGAGAGAGACAATGGTGAGGTTTTGAAGTTCAACAATTCTAATATCATTCATATATTCTAACTTAAACAACGTCATGAAACTTCGTTATAATACACCTTTTTCAGATTTTTTATTTTTTCTAGAAAAAACTAAAATAATTTCAAATGAAACTCTTCATTATTGTTCTTCTCTTTACCTTATCATCAGCAAATCGTTTTTATCATATGAATGATGATGATGTCTTCAAAACTATTAGAAAAGCAGAAAGTGGAATAGAAAAATTAGAAGTTATTGTGAAAGTTTGTAAATTTTATTAGAAAAAGGAAAAAAAAACTAATTAGAAGAAACAAGAGTTATGTGAACATCACATTGAATATGGAGACTATGTAAGTGTTCATTATAATGGAACTTTACAAGATGGTGTCCTTTTTGATACAACTGCTATTAAAGATGAACCGTTTACTTTTCAAGTTGGAGTACGACAAGTCATTCCTGGATGGGAACAAGGACTATTAGGTAAATGTGAAAATGATGAATTGACATTAATAATTCCACCACACCTTGGGTATGGAGATCGTGAAGTAGGAATGATTCCAGCTAATTCTATTCTTAAGTTTGACATTAAAATAGTGAAAGTTATTTCATATTTTGATGCACAATTTAATAAAATTCGAGATGATTTATAATATGAAAAGGTAATTGAATATTTCAATGACTAATGAATTAAAATAAAATTACTTTTGTGCATCAGACATCTCTTGTTTTAATTGTTCCATTTCTTTTCCAAACGCACTAATCTCAGCTAATAAAAATTGTGAGTTAGAATTAGTTTTAGCATTTTGTTGTAATACAATCTCAGTTTCTTTTTCTGTTGCAAGTGCTTCATCTTCAAGTTGTTTCAATTGCGCGTCTATACGTTCTTTAAAAGAGTCAAAGTCTTGTCTAGTAGAATTAACGACGGATGACTCAGTAGTTTCAGTCATGTTTTCTTTTTTCAAAATAACGAGATTTTTTAAGATCATCTCATAAATTCCACTTCATTAATCATGGCAAAGAGAAAGGCTGCTAATTCAAAACGAGTTCAAAAGAACAAAAAGGCAAGAAAGGAATTAACTGAAGGGTTACGCAGACATCGCTTGGATGAAATATTGAAGAACTTAAAAGAGTCAACTGGTGTTGATGTTGATGAAATTGTGAGAAGAAATAGAACAAATCCTGTGAAAACTGAAGAGGAGCATAAATGATTGAATTTGATTTTTTAATACCAAAACAGGGTTTTTTGTCTTTAATATCAATACTTTTTTTAATTTTGTTATAATAATAATAAAAATTCAAAGAAAAGAACAAATTAAATAAAAATGTTAACAACATGATGAGAATTGAGATTGAGATGTTGGTGGTTGATTTAAATTGACTGATTGAGAGGCATCAAGTTGTTGTGATTGAGATTGTTTTTGATAAAATGCAGTACGTGTGATATTGTTTACATTAGATGTTCTTGGTTGATTTTCATGAATAGTACTTGCAACAGTATTTCTTCTTGTTGAGAGTTGATCTAATGGTATTTCACCATTTCTAACTAATGAAATGGCATGATTAAACAATTGGTCAATACCAATATTACTGGATTATTAGTTATATATTTTTATTAATTATTAATAATAACAGAAAGAATAAAATGATAATATGT